ACCCCCAACAGCGACGGCATATGTTACACGCCAACAGATTAAACCACATTAGTATTCATTGCTATTGTTATGTAATGGTAATGAGGAGGAGCCAGAGAGATGAATATTAATGAGGTTTTTGAGTTAATCTGCAACCTGCACACAGATGCTGCATTCATGGGAAGCTAGAAAATTGAACATTAGAACGTTTTTATGAGAAAACTTTTTTCTGCGTTACCCTGATTGTGTTACATGATGATGATACAGTGAATCTGTGGTTCCAGCTCCCTGATGAGCATTTGTTCTGATCCCAAAGTCCTCATTCATCACAACGTGCGTATAACAAGTTCCACAAAGTGCTTTACGCAGAGAACAGTAATACATCTCACCTGTTCTTCATCCACCTGCTTGTGCACCTAAAGGCTCTTTTACACACAGAATGAGGTAAAGATAGCGTTACAGTCCAGGAGCAGGTGTACAGGAAAGCTTCCCAGCATGCACCAGGACAAAGGATTTATGGACACAAGTCCCGTTTTATGTCTGACTTTATTTGTTGATATACAGTTAGTTATTATGAGGAAATGTGGTTAGACTGTGAGAGATACGGTGTGCAGGTTTGTAGCTGAAATGTTGTACTTCTCTTCAAACACAAAAGCTTTTTCTCTTTAGACGTTTCCAAGCTGAGAACTTTATGAAACTCAGCTAAATCGAATTGTTTCATTGATGCGTCCACAAGATAAAGAGATAAAGATACAGCATGGGGAGAGGAACCAATGATTTAATTTAGCTGCATTTAACACAACAGATTGGACACATACAAAAAAATTACCAATCTCAGTCATTCAACTTTGAGTGTCTGCTGATACCGTGTCCCGATCCGATACTTCTATTTCCCTAGATAATACCATAGAATGTATATAAAAATCCCTAAATTATTAATTTGATTATTGTTCAAATCAGTGCAATGATTGACAGTTGAATAGCTGTGCAGTGAATTAAACATTTAGGGGAATCTATTGGCAGAAATAGAATATATTATTGTTAAATATGTTTTTTAATTCACCTGAAAATAAGAATTGTTGTGTTTTCGTGTCCTTAGAATGAGCCCTTTATATCTTTAGGAGTTGATCTTCACAGAGGCGGCCGCCATGTTTCTACAGTAGCCCAGAAAGGACAAACCAAACACTACCTCTACATAGGGACATTCACATTTTCAAAAAGAGTGCACATAAATGAATTAGGTAATAACACAAATATACAGTCTCACACTGCGTTTTGTCGCATTAGACTCTTAAGATTAGATCGTGACATTGAACCATTATTTCGTACCATTTAATATCAATCGACTTAAATATATATTATCCGTCAAACTGAAATACAACAATAAAAAATTAAAATACGTAATCTATTTTTAATTGTAATCTAATTTGGGATTTAGTTAATCTGCTATTCCACTTATGTACCTGTGGGGTCATCAAGCAATCACATAAATCAGATTCATGTGGTTTGAGCACATCAGTAATAATAAATTAAACCACTGATGTCTGAAAGTGGAGTGGGCAATACAGATAAAATGCTCAGGCTTTGTCGCGGTGGAAACAGGCTAAACAAAGGAGCACAGACGTCCCTCTCCCTAGCAACCTTGTCCAGCTCCTCCTGGGGGATCCCGAGGCGTCACCAGGCCAGAGGAGATAAATAACCTCTCCAGTGTGTTCTGCCTCGACCCCGAGGATCTGCTACCAGATGGACGTGCCCAGAAAATCTGCAAAGCAAGGCGCCGAGAAAACATCTGATTGAATCAAACCTGATGATTTATTTGTAACATTACAGACAACAGATGTTTTTTCACTGCAGTGTTTTTGACATGTCACAGCAGGTGAATCACAGGTGTATATAATACATATTAATGATGTCTCCATTGCATTTAGCTGCTTCAGTTTCAGCGTCCTTGTATTGTGCATGCTGCCTCACTGTCACGCTGTCCTGGTAGACCTTAATTAGCAGTTATTAATAACTGCTGTGCTTTTTGACAATGACTAAGAGTGAAAATGTCTGCTGTGAAAAAGGCCTCCGTGGTCTGATTCACCCAGAAACAATAAAGACAGAGATTTTGGTTGTGAACTGACACACACAGGAATGTAGCGGCCTGTTGTCAGAGAACAAAGCTCGTCCTCTGTGTGTGTGTGTGTGTGTGTGTGTGTTGAGTCAGCAGGTGAATTAGTGCTTCTACACGCACATTCAGCAGATTTACACACTGATGTTTAAAACATCACTTGAATGTACAAACTATTAAATATGCATGTGTGTGTGTGTGTTCAGGTTTTGGACAGCGACCGGTTGGTGTTGCAGAAGATGAAGAAAGCTGCTAAAGCCAAATACACATCAGGACAAGGTACACACACACACACACACACACACACACACACACACACACACATTACTTCCTGCACTAACACCATCTCTCTCTCTCTCAGACCACGTGTCTCACCTGGAGCAGTACATTAATTCGATGGAGAAGATGTCGGTCAACTGTCACTCAAACGGGGAGACGGAGGTCGGCTCTGCCTTCTGCCGACTAGCCGACTTCTCCAAAGAGCTCCTCTCGCCCATGAAGAACCTGGTAAGTCACCGGTGACAGTCAGAAAGGTCAGAGGTCACAACACCTGCACCGGATATCAGCCGCGCCCTCCATTTTAGTCTGAAACCACTACGACATTACCTCAACTGATCCACTGGAAAAACGTCTAATTTAAACCTTAAAACAAGAGCTTAGCTGGTACTACCAAACACTAAGTGACTTGATTAAAGACCAGTTGGCTCTGGTCCATTCCAGCGTCTAATTAAAAACCAATTGGGTCTTAACCGGTTCACTCTAACTTCATTGAAAATATCTCAAATTAAGAACCCCTTGATTTGTTGTTACCTTGTCCATTCAACACTCCATTGGGAAAACGTCTATTTAAAACTATCTGGCTGTTTGTCTCCTTCCCCCGTTACCATCGCTGAATTAACAACATGCTGGGTGTTATCCATTATTATATTTCCATTTTAATGTTTGTTGACAGTTGAAGTTTGTATAATTGTATTTTTTTTATGTGTGTGTGCAGTTAAAGAGCATGCTCCACAACATCAACTTCTTCCTGGACTCTGTGGTTAAAGGAGACCTGAGGGAGGTGAAGGGGGTGAGGACCTTATCTTTACTTACTTTCATGTCCCCTGGGTGATGCATATAGACTTTGCATGGACAGATAAAACCTTTCACCACATATTATCATTATGATATTTGCTCCTGGTAGCCTGAGGATGTCACTGTCTGTCCCCTGAAGTGTTTACAGCCTCATCAGTACCATGAATCTAAAATCCTGTTTCCTCCTCTGACTGTCTCTCTTTGTAGGATCTGAAGAAGCCTTTTGACAAAGCGTGGAGGGACTACGAGAGCAGATTGTGAGTGATGATCACACTGAATTATCTCAAGCACTCTGAGAGTGTTTACTTGCACAACAGTATTCTGGTTATATGCTTGTGCATGTAAATATCATCTTTATGGTTTCAAAACACCAGGATGAGTTCTCTTCTATGTTTTTGAGGAACCTGAATATGTCTGCTGGAGTTCTGTGTCGTGAAAACAAGAGAATGTGACGATAAAAGATGTGAAGATGATCTTCATGATGAAATTATAGTAAAACAAATCCACCCATCAACCGACTGGGAGCTCAAACTGGGAGCTTCATCACACAGGACAATGAGACGGAATGTTTTTAACATGAAGCATGGCTTCATTGGGATAAAAACAATATTTGTAATAAAATATAATATAAAAAAGAAGTTTAGTATTCATTTTAATTGTGAACTTCTTCTTTCGAAAAGACAATAAAACATCTAGTGTGTGTGTGTGCGTGTGTGTGTGTGTGTGTGTGTGTGCGCAGTAAGCAGGTGGAGAAGGAGAAGAGGGAGTTGGCTCGTCAGTATGGGATGGTGAGGAATGAGGTCAGCGGAGGAGAGATTGCAGAGGAGCTGGAGAAGGAGAGGCGCTCCTTCCAACTGAGCATGTGCGAGGTCAGTGACTCCGCCTCCATCTTTGACCCCTCCTGCCTTTTAGCCTTCACCTCCTCAGCTTTTTCCTCCTCCTTCTACTCCTCATTCTTTCTCTCTACTTCGTCTTCCCCCTTCTCCCCTTTGTCATCCTTGTCTTCTTCCTCTTCCTCTTCTTCTCAGTCCTTCTTTTCTTCCTTCAACTCTTTTTCTACTTTTTCTACTTCTCCCTCCTCTTCCACCTCTTCTTCCTCTGACCACTGCTCCTTCTCCTCTTCTTCTTCCTGTCCTCTCATCCATCTTTGTCTTCCCCCTCCTAATTGTTATCTTTTCATCTGACCACTGCTCCTTCCTCTTATGCACCTTCATCTCCCCCCTCCTCCTCCTCCTCATCTTCTTCTTCCTCCTCTTCCCCCTACCTCATTTTCTTCTTCCTTCTCCTCCTCTTTCTCTTCTCTCTCCCTCTTCTGTCTGCACCTCCTCCCTCTCTCTCTCTCTGTTCAATGACTACACTCCTCTCTCTGTCTCTCAGTATCTGATTAAAGTCAACGAGATAAAGACGAAGAGAGGAGTCGACCTTCTGCAGAACCTCATCAAACACTACCACAGCCACAACAAGTGAGAACGCACACACACACACACACACACGCACACACACAAACACAAACACATACTCCTGCATGCAGTAAACTGACATGACTGTATTTACTGTATCTGTATCTGTGTGTGTGTGTGTGTGCGTGTGTAGTTTCCTGCAGGAGTGTGTGTCCACCACTCAGAGCTTGAAGCAGTACATGGAGGAGCTGAATGGAGTTCTGAACACGGTACGACATCAAGTACACTTTAATATTGTGTGTGTAATTCACACCGCGGCCTCTGGGGGGCGAGCGGACTGTTGGTGTTGTGATTTTGATGATGTGGGCGACGATGTTGGCTCCAGGCTGAACCCTCAAATATGAATTAATTCTCAGATACAAAAGAGGTGTGATGATTTTAGAACAGAAGATGTAGAAGAGAGAAAGTAGACTTTATCTGTAGCTGTAATTATCACTGAAAACAAAGAGTTAAATACCTAAATATGATAAAAGTCTCTACAGAATGAAATGGTTACCTGTGAAAAACAAAGCAATAGAATAATAATAAGTTTGATCTTATCTATTATGATAATAACAATAATGACATAAACTCAGTTAGAATCTCTTCACTCATGAGACATTATGACGAGAACACTAAAAGTATGAATTCTTCTTGCATCTTTGTGAGGATTTAAATGATCTATTACTCTTATATCTGAGTAGGTTTATAAATTAATGGTCTGCTGATGTCTCACTGTCTGATTTAATCATTTTTAGTAAGTAATGGAAGTGTGGAAGCATGTGAAACAACGTGGAGCACAATTTAAAACAAGATAACAACAGTGACAAAGCAGAACCACACAAAAAGAATAAAGTGATGGAAAGAAACTAAGTACAAGTACTGTTTTGAGGTAGTACTAGTGATTGAGTATTTCCATTTTCTGCTACTTTATACTTCTACATCACCAGAATTCAGAGGGAAATATTGTACTTTTTAATCCACTGTATTTATTTGATACCTTTAGTCACTTTGCAGATTCATATTAATAATACACAATGTAAGAAACAAATACATTAATCCATAAAGATTAACTTTATTGATCCCTTGGTGAAATTCACAAGCTATCCAGCAGTATAATAAAGTAAATAACATTTAAGTAATGTTCTCATTAGTGCATCAATAACTATAATTCAACAATATAATAAATATCATTATGAAATTAGTAATTCTGCATAATGAGTACTTTTACTTTTGGTACTTAAAATATACTCTGATTCTTATACTTATGTACTTATACTTAAGTAACTTGTTGCATGCAGGACTTTTACTTGAACAGAGTATTTTTACACTGTGGTTTACTACTTGGAGGCATCCAGCACTTAGCCAATCATACTCAGGTTGCCCTTATTTCAAAATAAAAGCACATTAAATCTAAAGATTTGCTGCTGTTTGTCTGCAGGTGAAGCAGCGTCAGGAGGAGGAGAAGAAGCAGCTCGTGACTCTCAGAGATCAGCTGAGGCCGGTCGTCAACACAGAGCAGGTCAGAGACACAAACACTGACACCAGCTGACATTATAATACTGTTATACTGGTAATTAATGTATGTGTGTGTGTGTGTGTGTGTGTTAATGTGTGTGTGTGTAGGACTCATTGCCGAAGCAGATGTACAGTATGCATCAGCTGCTGGGAGACAAACAGTACGGGACGGAAAGAACAGGATTCCTCTACAAGAAGAGTGACGGGTAAGAAAATAAAATAAAAAACACACTAATGTACACACTGACACACTCAACACTGACCATCAATATTAGTAGTAGTAGTATTAGTAGTGTAGTAGTAGTAGTTGTAGTAGTACTAAACCCGTGTCTCTGTCTGTGTTTCAGTTTGAGGAAAATGTGGCAGAAGAGGAAATGTTCAGTTCACAACTGTTACCTGACGATCGCACACGCCACTGTGAGTTCACCTGTGTGTGTGTGTGTGTGTGTGTGTGTGTGTGTGTGTGTGATTAGCTGTAACCTCTGACTTTAAAGTAATAATAATTTATAATCTTTATACTCTCTCTCTCTCAGCCTAATAAACCTCCTACCAGACTCAACCTGCTCACCTGTCAGGTTAAACCCAGTGTGGAGGACAAGAAATGCTTCGACCTCATCTCTCGTAAACTACACACGCACGCACACAAAGAAACACACGCACACACACACGCACACACACGCACAGATTTTACATATAAATACAGATAGAAAATAATGAAATTTAAGTGAGAAAACGATATACAACACATACACAGTGACATGCTGTAGATCTGAAATATTGATCTAGTATATACATTTTATTTCTGCATAATTGATAGAATCATAATGTAAATTCAACATAATATCAAAATTGTATAAATATAATATTAACAAATACCTATACATATGATTCTATGATATTAGTTTGTGATGTACATATGTTCATAAAACACACATAATTGTGTTTGTATGTAAGAGATGAAACACGACATGTTTGTACGGTCCGTGATTGTTATGGGAGACGCGTTACGATTGTGCAGAGCTCTATAATTATATAATATAACAAAGACTTTGTCCTCCAGATAATCGGACCTACCACTTCCTGGCAGAGGATGAAGCTGAGTGTGTGGCGTGAGTCTTTATTCTGACGAGCTGTTGATAAAGTCCGATAACTGGTGTCGTCCTGTCTTTACGTACTAAGATGTGTGTTCATCTGTGTGTTCAGCTGGATCTCGGTGCTCAGTAACAGTAAGCAGGAGGCTCTCAGCGTGGCCCTGGACGGGGGGAGGAGAGGGGGAGGAGGTTGTGAGAGCAGCGTGGAGGATCTGACCCGGGCCATCACTGATGACATCAGACGGTTGCCAGGAAACAGCAGCTGCTGTGACTGCGGAGCTCCGGGTGATCGATCAATTAATACATCTTAGTTTTCGTGGGGCGGCGGCGGTGGGTTGGGAGGTAGAGCGGGTTGTCATACAAAACATCAGATGTAAAGTTTGATTGATTTTGAGATTTATTTAACGGTCAGAAAACACAAAAAAAGCAGTCTGAACTTTGGGTTCTGGGAAACTCTGATGGACATTTGTCACATTGTATAAACCAAATGAATATTCGTTGATGGAAGGTAATTGTTAGTTGCAGCGCTGATTTTATTCTACGACAGTAAATCTGAATTCTCTCTCTCTCTCGCTCTCTCTCTCTCTGTAGATCCTGGATGGCTCTCGACCAACCTGGGCATCCTGACCTGTATCGAGTGTTCAGGGATCCACAGGGAGATGGGGGTCCACGTCTCCAGGATCCAGTCTCTGAGTCTGGACAGTCTGGGGACCTCAGACCTGCTGGTAGGTCCAGCCCGTTAGCTAACAAGCTAATCCATCCTGCAGTCGGCTGGGTTTAGTTGGGTTAGGACAGAAAACACCATCGTGTTTAGCTTCTACCTGCTGTTAGTGACACACACAACTACATTTGAAGCTCTGTGATTGGATGTTTCTTACTGAAGCAGTTGTAGTTGACATCTCACCTTACATTTAATGTCCACGGTCACTACTTTGGCTCTTTATCAGGCAGCAACCTCTGGCTCTGTAAAGTGAAGCCTTAAACATGCATTCTCTCTACTGGCCATCAGGGGGCGACAAAAGAAGTCTGATTGTATAGAGGTCTATGAGAAAATGACTCTACTTCTCTCTTGATTTATTACCTCAGTAAACATTGTAAACATGAGTTTATGGTCTCAATCTCTAGTTTCAAGTCTTCTTCAATACAGCATGATGTTCATTTAGTACATTATGGTCCAGTTAAATAAACCCAGCTGACAGGATGGATTATTGTTGGATTAGCTTGTCAGCTAACAAGACAAAACATGAAAATCAGAACGATTTGGAGTTGTAGGAAGTTAGATTTCCCTCTGATGGAGCTACGTCAGCAGTTTCCCTCTTCTTCAGTCAGTTCTGACTTTTCAGTTCTGAATTTTGAGGTTAGATCTTACAGATACTTTCTTGAAAGGCTCTTAACTTTAGTGTATGTGCTGTTTGTACGAGCGAGCAGGTAGAGAGAAAATTCTGTCTTCTTTGTCTCCCAGTTGGCCAGAAATGTTGGTAACTCTGGTTTTAATGAAATACTGGAGGCGAACCTGCTGAGTCCATCACTGAAGCCCTCCCAACACAGCCACATGTAAGACACACACACACAGATTTAGTTATTCTAGTAAAGAATAGTTTCTTTTAATAAAGTTGATACTGTATATTTGTTGTGTGTGTTTGCAGGGGGGAGCGTAAAGACTTCATCCTGTCAAAGTACCAGGATGTTTATTTTGTGAGGCGGAGCCACAGCTCTTCTGCAGCGCTGCGACTCAGCCTGCAGGAGGCGACAAAGAGCTGCGACATCTACAGTCTGATTCAACTGTACGCTCAGAGGATGGAGCTGAGCCAGCCGCTGCACGCACACATACAGGTACACACTGATACAGGTACACACAGGTTTACACACATCCTGGTACACACATACACAGGCACACACAGGTACACTCACACAGGTTCACACACATACAGGTACACACAGGTACACATAGGTTCACACACATACAGGTACACACACACAGGTTCACACACATACAGGTACACACTGATACACACACACATGTACACACATACAGGTACATGTGCAGGTCCACAAAGGTTCACACACAGATACAGGTACAAACTTACACAGGTAAACACACATGCAGGTACACACAGGTTCACACACACACGCACACACACACACACACACACACACACACACAGGTACACACACTTTTTGTTTGTTTCTATGCCAACAGGAGAGAGGGGAGACGGCGCTCCATCTAGCTGTCCTATTGGCTGACAGGACGTCGCTGCACATCCTGGACTTCTTAGCTCAGAACTGGTCGGTGTGCTCTGACAACGTTTATAAGTGATGTCATCTCAGTGTGTGTTGGTGTCTTCACCTGCGTGTTTACCTGCTTGTGTTTGTTTTTGTCCTCAGCTCCGACGTGGACGCACAGACATCAGCAGGAAACACGGCGCTGCACTACAGCTGTCTGCACAACAAGAGCGACTGTGTGAGACTGCTGCTGAGAGCCAGGGCCAACACACACATGAGTAATACACACACACACACACACACACACACACACATGCACACACACACACACACACACACACACATACGATTGTACATGGTACATGTGAGGACCCATAAACAATTTAGAAAGTGGGGACATTTTTGTGAAGACATTTTTAATCTTATATCTTCACTCACAAATGTAGAAACACACACTAACTTCTCCTGCTGATGGTTTAGACGTCTCAGTCATACTTTAACCGTTTGTGTGTGAACAGAGAACGAGTTAGGAGAGACCGCTCTGGACGTGAGCCGCAGGTTGAAGCACGGCCAGTGTGAGGCGCTGGTGAGTTCCTCCGATCACTCGCCTCCTCGTGTGACTGTTGATGTCAGCGATACGCTTAAAACTGTGACTGCGTTGTGTTTGAGCAGCTGCAGAAAGCCCAGTCCAACCAGTTTGACCATCACGTCCACGTGGAGTACGAGTGGAGGCTTCGTCACGACGATCTCTACGACAGTGACGATGACTTCGACGACAAGGTAACAATGGCAGCTGACGGCCTGCCGGTTTAACGGCTCTGTTCTTTATTAAATCTAAAAGAGTATATTTGTTGATTATTACACCCTGTGTTGTCTCTACAGTCGACTGGTTAATAGTTATTATTATTACTATTATGATGAGTCTCAGAGCTCACAATCGAAACAAAACTTTTATTTACTTTTATTAATCAATAAAGTACTCTGATTACCAAAATGTAGTTTAGTCCATCCGCTCACATTGAGGTTTAAACCTTTTACTGCAACAATAATCATTTAACAATAGTTTTATTCTTCTGTTTCAGAACGGTCCGGTGAAGAAGGAGCGCTCCATCTCGTCCTCCTCCTTCACCTCCTCCTTCTCCTTCACCTCCCGTGCCTTCAGCTTCAGTCAGTCCGCCTCCTCCGTCGCCCCTTCCTCCGCTGGAGTAGCCGGAGGAGGCGGAGGAGGTCTGCTCAGCGTCGGGAGGAGGCTCGCCATGGCTATGGAGCTCCACAGCCGGCCTGCTGGCTGCGCCACCAGCCCTCCTCCTCCTCCTCCTCCTCCGTCCTCACCTGCGCCTCCGCTGCCCCCCAGGGTCAAAGGTGAGCTCAGACCTCAGGTATTTATTATACCTGGAATGTTTTTGTTGTCCAATGTTTGCTGCCTGACTACAAAAACAACACACATTTCTTCTTCTCCTTCACACTCTGTTGTTTGTGTTGATATTAGGTACGATACTGTTAGACCTGAAACTCCCAAATAAAAGATGGTGTTCACAACTAAAAAGCCATGTTATTCTCATAGCTCTCCTAAATAAATAAAGACCACAATAATAAGGACCAGGTTCTGAAGACAAAACCCAGTCCTCCATCTCTGCTGTCTTTTCGTCCTCCAGCTCCCAACGTTCCTCCCCCTCCGCCTCCCGCTGGGGGGGAAGGTTTAGGGGAGGAAGAGGAGGAAGAGGAGGAAGAGGAGGAAGAAGGGGAGGTCTTCTTCCCCCTGATAGGAAACAGAAAGTTAACGCCTCCCCCTCCCATCGCCGTCCGACACAAGAGGAGCTGCTCCGAGTCCAGCAAGCACGGTAACATCTGAGAGACACGCTGCAATTAATCCGTCAAAGTGCTGCTGTGTTATTAACTAAGCGTGTGTGTGTGTGTGTGTGTGTGTGTGTGTGTGTGTGTGTGTGTAGATTACGGGTTGCCAACCAGTCCCAGGATCTACAGCGGCCCCGACTCCTCCTTTAAGAAGTGTGTGTGAGTATCTGAGACACAACCACACTGATTTTAAATCTGTCAATCATTTAAATTAATTTAAATAGATGTCTGTTAAGTCTGTTAAGGAAGTAAAATATTGGTGATTGAGCCCACTGATTTTGCATTGTATTGCAATATTTATATATTTGCAGTATTACTAACTGGGTTAATGCTCCATTGTATACACATAATAAATATCCACACAAATGAAGCTCACGTGTCAACATTAAAGGCTCTACACTCGAAACAAATCAATTGTTTTCACTCAAATATGAATTCTAAATCAACCAGGACTGAAATCTAAAAGTGTCAGTCCTTACCACTTCAGTCCTGGTAGATTTATATTTTCTATTCTAGTGAAATCAATTGAATTGGTTTGAGTTTGCAGTCTTTCTGTTGAATCATGAGCTTTCATTTTGTGCGTAGTTAGTAGTTTTTATGTGTGTATAAAATGGAGAAAAACTGTAACACTGCATTTCTTTTCCTGGAATCTCGCCACAGACACCCAGTTCATAAAACTGCAAATATATAAATATATATAAATATTGCAATAATTCCCTAGTGCCGTAGGCTCTATCACCATTGTGTTACCTCCTTCAGGGATAGACGGGGACTCAACAGATATTCATTTGAAATCATTAAGATTGCCACTTAAAACAAAAATGTACTTATAATAAAAGGGAACAAGGTTATTAATACTGTCTGTAGTGGAATGATTTCTCTAGAATTACAACAAAATAACATATTATGAAATAAATCTTCCTTCTTAGTCTTGAGTCCACTCATAAAACACAACTCACACTATTTAAATATAAAGTTATGGACACCACAGCAGGTCTGTGCAATAACAGATCAATCAGAAACCATCCACAGAAGAAACACGGTCAGTGTTTAACGGTGTCTGTGCTGTCTCAACATTCTTCATGGTTTTAGTTAACGTATCAACACAGGTGTTTATGAAGAGGAGCTTCAGCTCATCTGTTGCTCTTCAGGTACATCAGGGAACAAAGTTGGGAGCAGCTCCTTTTTTTGGGTCACAAAATGTGGCTTCATTTTGTTTACTTGCATATATTGTTTGTGCGGAGACGATATTTAAAATAGTTCCTTTAATCTTTTATAACCAACTGTTTTTACTTCAAATCCTCCTAAATAAGATTTAAACGATAAAGGGGAACTGCCACACTGTAAAAACTTCTTCTGAACTTGACAGAAAACTCCGGTGGCTTCATAAACTTTATAAACTTGTGTTGTTTGTCCAAACTTCGATCAAACTTTCATCTTAAATTCTAGTGAGATGCCAACGTGTCCAAAGATTCAGAAATATGGCTGCTTGAATTCTGATGAAATGTGTCTAAAAATATTTCCATTTAATGGAAAGTTTGAGCCATAAAAACACATTAGTCTTTCACTCAGTGTAAGAAAATACAGGCAGAGATACAGACAAGACACAGACTTCTAGAGGGTCATAAGTGATATTTAATAATACATATAATAATACATTGTTTGTAGGAAAACCCTACTGATTCTGCCTTAAAGGTTTGAAGTCAGGAGTTTATTCTCATCAGAGTGTGTTGAAGCTGAAACTTCTTCAGCTGAAACTCTACTGACCTCCGGTGGACGGAAGATGAACTACAGCTCAGAGTCTTCAGATAGAGATATTAAACTTGTCCCCCTCCCTCTCTTCTTCTTGTCTCTCCAGTCCATCTTCTCCTCTCAGCTCGCTGAATGAACGACCAGAAAGAGGTACTTCTTATCCAGAAATGTACACGTCTGTTTTATCGGTCTGGAGCCTGATGAATCTATCATGTGTAGCTACGATGAGCTCACTGTGTCGGCCCTGGAGCTTTAAACTGAGGGAGAGGAATAGCTGGGGGGCCGATAAAGTTAGATTGTAAACTCCAGTTTAATACTTAAAACAGATGAGTTTGTTGTATGTATTTAGTTTGCTGTGTTTTTTAGACTTCCTCTATTAAATACTTTCAAATAACATTGAAATACATACGCAATATATTTCCATTCTGTCTCTTTGTCTTTGAGGTTTTTGGAGAGTAGACAGTGACGGTTGCTCCTCCCACTTCCTGCACCCTGTCAGAAAAGCCCCGCCCAACGGGTCTCCCACCAATCAGCGATCTCAGAGCTTTGAGAATGACAGCCGACGCCCCGCCCCCCAGCCGCTTCCTCGCAGATCATTGGTGAGATCTAGCAGCATGAGGACATTTTTCAGTGTTTAGTATTATAATTATTTTGTTGTTATTATATGCATATGTATGTATATATGTGTATATAGATACATATATATATATATATGTATATATATCTTGTTTTAATAGTTTGCTATCACTATTCACAATCTTATTATTCTATTTAATCTTGTGTTCTCTGTAACATTGGGACATTTTCACATTATTTAGGTGGAGGCTTCAAATGTTTTCTGCCTCTTCATGCACTGTACGTTATGTTGAAGTTTATTTACGTAATGTAAAAGTACACAAACTATTTGCTCACGTCCATCAGCCTCGGGGTGCGACAAGCCGCCGGGTGGAGGCGCTGTACGACTGCCAGGCCGACCACCACGATGAGCTGAGTTTCTCTGAGGGACAGGTGCTGGTGGTCCTGGGACAGGAGGACAGCGATTGGTGGGTACGTATCAACATCCTGCTCTGTGATTGGTGCAAATGCAATTATCAGGTAACGGTGCTTTTTTTCTGCAAGCCTTGCAATTGACAAGAACATGTAACTGTAGACAACAACGATGACGACTGCTGAAGCATCAGAAGGCTTTGAAGAAAACTGTATGAAAATAAAAAATACACCTTAATTAAAAATGAGACAAAATAATCAAATTACCAAAATGTGACTAAAACCAAAATATATTTTTGTCTAAAACTAAATCAGAATCTGTTGTGAAGTGTTCAAGTTTCTCTAAATGTTCAGTAAAAATATAAATGTGTGTGTGTGTGTGTGCAGCACGGTTACATAGAGGATGAACCAGACCAGAGAGGTTTGTTTCCGTGTTCCTTCGTCCAGCTCCTCTCAGACTGACATGAACCTGGTCTGCACCAGACCGGACCAGGAGCGGTGCAGACCCTGGACCAGTACAGATCCAGACCACATCAGTTAGAATGGAGAACCAGAACCTGGAGCTGCAGGAGAACCACACCAGATCAGTACTGAGCAGCTGCAGCTGAACCCCAGGTCAGACTTTCAGGTTCTTGTCCCAGGACTGGACTGATCTGGTCCTGACCAGCTCCAGGATCCTGTGAGTTCACAGGATGTTGACAAAACTTTTATTTATTTATTTTAAATTAAATATAATATTTTATTAAAAGCACTCAGTCCACTGGAGACACTTCACTTCAAAATAAAACAATCCACTGTACTTTTATTTTGAAGTTCAATTAAAAAAACAAATTTTTTCTTCCGTTCTAATTCATTGTAACGTATTTTAATGTAATTGATCTGGTGGAGATCAATCAGCGATTCTGTCCCATCTCAGGCTCCGCCACCTTGGAGGGGCGGGGCTAACAAGGTCCAACAAGTGACCAGAGCACAAAGGATTGTGGGATACTAAAGACCAAAGGATAAATACCAGTCACACAGGTGACATCAGAGGAGGCGGAGCCTGAAATGGGACACAGCTGATGCTTCCAGCTGCCTTAAAGATATCACCGAGCCTCAGTGAGTAAGTACAGCAGCAAATTACTGCCACTGGTACGAAAATGTATTTGCTCAGTTTCTCATTTAACAAGATATTTGACATGATAGCATTTTATGCTATATTGACATATGTTCTTGTTATCACTACATTCTAAATAATACAAAAAACCTTTATGTAACTTATCACAAATCTTTTCTTGTTTTTACAGAATGTAGCTCGTTAAAGCAAGAAATGTTTGTTATGAGAACATAACGAGACGTTTCATGATCGAAAAATAAATTGATTTGTGGTTAATAACAAAACAGAATAATTTGGCAGAAAAAAGTAATAACTTAACAAGTTTCACTTGAAACTGAGCTGAATGTTTTATTGTGGTGGCTGCAATACACTGCCATGAGGACGTTTGTACTTTTATAGACGTAGAAATCTGTCTGCAGAACTTTTTCTCACCTGGGTTTGATTGTGTCAACATTTACCTCCAGAGTTTTTTTAAAATTAAAAACAACAAAAAAACACCTTAAATAATCTTTATTTATTTCATTCAAAGTGACAGCGGTGGCTTCATGTTTTGTTTAAAATATCACAGTCTGTTTGGTGACTATGAATGAAGGAATCAACCGATGATCGGCAGGTTGTTTAAGTGAAAAGTGAAGCATTTCTTTCTCTTTTATCAACAGTCAGTTTAAACACGATGAGCTGAATTAAAGCTATAATAACTGAACATACTTCATGATTGGTTGATTAGAATTAATCTGCATCCCTAATGGAAATTATCAACATTTCCAGACTGCAGGGAATATAATAAGCACAACTTTGGATTTATACTTTCATCAAACTTCATTTCTTTTGTCAGTGTGAAGGAAGTAAATCATTTTGCAAATTCCAAAAACCTTTCATCCGGATGTGAAGTCCACCTCAGGCCTCTGGAGGGCTGCTGCTCTGTCATTTAATGGCTTAACTCTCTTCATAAAGCGGAGAACTTCCCAGTTTACGAGCAGGAAGTGTTTTTTTTCTGGAGAAGCCAACAAAATGTTAAATCTCAGCCAAAAAAACCCAGTAAAAACAGGCAGCAGATGTTTCCGATTCTGTTAACTCGGCAGTTTAAAGAGAGACTATTGGACTTGTTCCAGACAAACCGGATTAAACTCTAAACTGCAGCCGTGTTACCGCCAGACATACGGCCTCTAGGTGAAAATTCAGCATTTATGATTATTTATCGAGGGCTTGGTCTGCCTCAAACTAAGTGCTCCCTTTCCAACTGCTGCATCTAATCATATTTGTCACCATGAAGACACATTTGTTGGACGGAGCTCCGGGAAGTGGTGGGTGGCAGCCAGGATGATGAGGCTTTTCAATTTGCCGTCCAGCGAGGCTGTTGGGAACAACTATTAACGCTTCATATTAGACGTTGTACCAACATGTTTGTTTGAGGCAGACCGAGCTCTTTACGGAGCGATTTCACACTGGAAAGTTGGTCTGAACAAAGCGGCAAAATTTGGGTGTTTATTAACCCGATTCGGCCTGAAAAGTGGTGATCTGCTCGATGTCTGCTCAGTGAAAAAACAATTAGTAATCCCACTGGAAACCCCGACCACATTTGTGGCATTTTTAGCAAGAAAACAAGAGAGAAAAGACATTTGAAGGACTCGCCGTGTGCGTCAGCGACACAGAGTTTAGCGACACAACTGGTTACTGTATGTATAGTAATGACATCATAACCATACTGACGTCATGATGGCTCGTTTAAAAGGCACAGTTTAAATACGGGCTGTTTGAAAGTATCAAAACAGTCAATCCACGGAGAAATACACAGTATTTATGTTGTACCTAGACCTGCTATGTAATCAAAAACAGACATGGAAATCTCACTTTCTACACTATGGGAACTTAGTTGTACTTTTTGTGTAAAGTTAATCTCAAATCTAAATTTCAGTGAGATTGTAGATGCATTTAGTCGATAGCTGTGTTACTTTGTTTCTTCCTACTTTTACCAGCAAAAACACGTCATTGATATACGAGATGCTGCTTACTAGTGCGATGGGTCAAAGTTCCTTCAATGCATCGGAGGATAACTTCTACAAAATCAGGAGCTACAGTGTGCGATATCTTTCTTCAAAATTTAAGATTTTGCCAAAAATAAATATCTGTGGTAATGTTGAAAACAAAATCCACCACAAAATATTCTGACTTTTTTTCCACAGTGAAAATTGGGTAAAAAACAATTAAAAAGTGACATTTCAAAGAAAAACTGACAAAATGCATGAAAAGAAACGTGGAAAAGATGGACGAATTAACTAATTACTGTGTAAATATGTTCTAAAGGCCAAATTTTACCTTCGCCATATGCAAATTTCATCATCTACCATGAGGGGTACGATCCACGTGCAGGCCAAACTGTATGCTCGGATCGACACGCCGATATGTTTCTCTTCCAAACACAGAATTTGTGGAGTAGCCATCGTGTAAAACGTGGTCTAGGACGGATAACCAAACTCGGATTCAGACTCAAACTTTCTCAGTGTGAAAACGTCCTGAAACGAACATTCAGATGAAAGTGATTGACAATCAGCAACAGTTTTTGTACATTCACAGTACAGGTGGGACAGCCCTCTGCATGCTGTCGTCTCCCTTTAACAAGAAGTCCAGCAGACAGCTGACTGACTACACTGCTACCTGCTGGACTGGTCAGTCTCTCTTCATTCATGTGGTTGGTTGTTATTTTTTGGTTGGACTTACATTGCACTACATTTTCCACTCATCCATGCAACACACACGCACACACACACAGGTGGTGTTACTGATTGTTTGACATTGTCCTGTAAAGTTTTGTTAAATAAATCTTTAGTTCAAAGTCGTGCAGGGTCTCCTCGTCTTTGTTGCTCCCACCAGCTGTGACTCAGAGGAGTTACATCACGACTTTCCATGAAGTTCAACAGTCTGCAGCTGTAGCGCCGAATTACATCCAAAGTCGTCGTCGTAGAGTTTAACTTTACCGCTTACCATTAACGTTTTTTGCTACTACACGTACAACAATCGCCCTGCTGTAATCAGTGAAGTCAACTGCACACCTGCAGACTGTTGAATCATCATGGACCACATGTAGAAACTCAAACACAGGATAAAAACCTAAAACAGGCTCCTTCAGCTCCATATATGGTCAAGACAGAATCGGCTCACATTCCAAAAATGTAGCCGAGAGAGTAAACTACACAACATCATCCCATAACCAGTACAAATCCAGATCAGGACGGATTACGTTACGTGTCCGTTAAAATAAATGGATGGATTATAAATGGTCTAAAATATAAAATGTCTTGTAACCTCGTTGGACAAGAGAAGCAACAAAATGGCCTCTTTGTGCCATTTCTTCTTCGGGGCAAAGTGCTTTCATAGTACAAAAAAAGAGGTTATACCTGTATAATGTCTATAAATTCAATAGAAAATATTTTAAAAGGCTGTGGTTGTTTCCCGCTTTCAGCAAACATTTCGTGGTCAATCCTTGCAGTCGCAGACAGTCTGTCTGTTTAAATAGTGGAGGGTCCCAAAAACAGTCTGTATGTTCAAGTTGAGCCGGAACTCATTTAAACCAGCAGGAGTCTGCACGGGAAGGATATCTAAGCTCCGCCCACCAGGTGGTGCTAGGTTTTCGCTCCTCCCATCCCCAGAAGGCACCGTCCACAGGTAATCCAGGTGCGTAAAAATGTGGCTGTCCAACAGCGGCTTCAGTCCGCTATTCCTGGATGTCTGACTTAAGGCAAATATGATGATTTTTTACACGGGTCTGATTTCCCCAAAACAAGCTGCCAGTTGAACACGGTCCACTGTCGGCTCAAATTGGACAACAGCGGCGTGTGCCGACACCAGTCAATCAACCAGACTCAGCTGGATACCTGGTTCTTGGTCACAAACAATTAGGAGGTGAATGATCTGCTGGTCAGGGAGTAGATTGGCCCGTCAGTCAGCAGGTCTGCGGGTCTGTCTGTAGGTCAGTTCATCAGTCAGCAGGTCTGCGGGTCTGTCTGTAGGTCAGTTCATCAGTCAGCAGGTCTGCGGGTCCGTCTGTAGATCAGTTCATCAGTCAGCAGGTCTGTCTGGAGGTCTATCGGTCAGTCAGTAGGTAAATGTATCTGTCTGTAGGTCTGTCTGTCAGTCAGTTCATCTGTCAGTAGGTCTGTTGATCAGTCTGGAGGTCTATCGGTCAGTCAGCAGGTCTGTATGTGTCTGTATGCTGGTAGGCCGGCCTGTAAGTCAGTCAACAGGTAAATTCGTCAGTCAGCAGATCTGTAGGTCTGTCTTTAGGTCTGTAGGCTGGTCAGCACGTCTGTAAGTCTATATGTAGGTCAGTCCTTTAGTCTGTGGATCAAAAATGTCTGTAAGCTTGTCTGTAAGTCTATATGTGGGTCAGTCCATCAGTAGATCATCAGCGCTGTAGGCCTGTTAGGGGGTCAGTCAGTACCAGGTGTGTAGGTCAGTGGTTGTGTCACAGGTGCAGACTGATTTTGCCCTCCTTGGCGAGCTGTTGGATGATCTGCGTCTCAAAGTCGGCGCTGTGGACTCCGGTCTTCCTGAAGGCTCCAGCATTGCGATTCTCCTCCCAATAGTGATGCCAGTTCCCCTGCTGGTCGGCGCCATAACCGAACACAGACACCTGAACACAGACAGGAAGTGATGCCGTGAAGTACTGCAAGACACTACTTGACCAAGTATGTCTGTCAGGTCTGTCACTAAACATGTCCTGCATTTGTACATTTTAAAGTGAGGTCTGAAGACTTTCAGTTTTATTCTCGTGATGATGCATTTCAGAGCAAAGACTGTTTTCATTGAGGGATACTCGGACAATGATAGTAAAACATGGATATGGAAGAAGGATGTGAATTTGGTCGTTTAAATGTCTCCGTGTCCCTAAATGCACCAACAGAGTGAGTTTGCTCAACAGTCTTTTGCTCCCTGCTGCATTGACTGAAAAATGAAATTGTCTATATGTTTGTTGGTGCCAGAGATGAAGACACAGACCCCCCCCCCCCTTACCTGGTCACAGGTGTGCAGAGCGAAGATGATGGCCAGCATGCCAGTGGACGGGTAGCGACCGTGACCCTCAGTCCATCGATCATTAGCATACTTAAAGAACGCCGGGTTCACCACCAGAACCTGCACACACACATACAGTGTTAACGTGGTGATATGATCAATGTGTTGGTGTCCATCGGCTCTCTGGTGGAAAAAAATATTTTTGGAAAATAATCAAATTTCTTTAACTGAGGCATTATATATATATATATATATATGAACTAAAATGTTACTTTTTTTCCAGACATTGTGCGCTTAAAATATCAAACCTATTAAAATTGACTCATGACACCTTTAAATGAATCAATGCGAAAATATTTAAACCAGAACTGAAACTAGACTGAACCGTGAAGTCAAGACTTTCTCTTTCATTAAGCAAAATAAGAATACAAATGGAGGCAGAGAGCTATAACAACATCAACAGACTGTACACAGAGAAGATGATGGAGCATTTAGTCTACCTTGTCTTTATCAGCCTCCACTCGGTCTTTAACCCTCATGTAGGTCCTGAACACACAGAGATAACAGCTCATAATGTAGTTCAAGCTTTGCTTATTAGAATATACAGTATTTATGTTTCTCTTTATATGTTTGCACGTATATCATTTAATGTTTAGTAAAACAAAAAAGTTCACATTTTCTCCTGCCTGATGTAAATTTTCAACTTGTTGCTAATATATTTAGGCATATTGTTGAGTATATAAAACGTATATTAATTTTGTATTTGACCTTAAATAAGATGTGCAGGTAAACAGACTCGGCCGTCATTTCAGGTCTATTTCTGTAGATATGTATAATACATAGACATTTTAAGCTGTGAGGTATTTATCTACCGTATGTTTACATTAGTACAATAAACAGATTAGTATTTTTATGCAAAAATACATTTTAACAAGTTTTTATATCTGGTTCAAATTCATATAGTATATATTTATACATATGCATGCATATATATCTTCATAGTAACATACAACATTTCTGTACAATATATATTGTTGTATACGTGTCTTAGGATTGTAATACATTTTTTCTTTATGTATATTCCCGATGTTTTTTCAAATACATTCTCTAAATAATTGCTACAATCTGAAAAATATGTTACTTCATTTTTCTGCAGGGCTGTTGTATTGGACTGCATCGGTTTATTAGAAACACCTAACTGAGCGTATTTCTCTCTATACCAGCTTGATTTTGAGGACATTTGTATCTGTATTTCATACATCTTGACTTGGCCGGTGGACAGCGCGCTGGTCAGCCACTCCAGGTCTCTGAGTTTGAACGGAAGTAGGACGAGGCTGACGCCCCGAGCAACATCCACCGCGCTCTCCGGGTACAGGAAGTGATACGTTGTCCGATTTCCAACATCTTTCTCAAATCCTCGAGTCACCGCCTTGTTCATCCTGTGGAGGAGAAAGGTAAAGAGGATGAGGAAGATGATGATGAGGAAGGTAACACACGTGTGCGTGGACAGTGAACACGTACCGGTACACAGAATTATGGGAGTCGATCAGGTTGCCGTTTCCTGACTGTCGCAGGTTGCCGGAGTTGCCGACCACCGCGCAACTACGGCATGTGGAGAGGAGGGGCCTGAAGTCCACAGTGGGCGGGGAAATGACCTTAAACATCTCTGACATCACTTCATCTAGAGACTGGTCGTTACCGGCCCGCTGAAGACTCTGTGGAGAAATGGAGCATATCGTCAATATTTTTTTTAAATACAGCTTTATTAAGTAGAGATCCATAAAAATACACTTTCCAACAGCTTGGGAAAAAAACATTTTATTTTAGTCTGTAAAGGGCTCATACAGTTGTTAGAGTATACAGTACTGTGGATCAGACTGATGATGTTAGCAGCATTTCCACCCTCCTCTGCCCCCCTTTAATCTACTAATGGTTCCTGCAGCAGGACATAATCTATAAATGCAGGAAAACGACTCAGACGTTTGGCTCTTCATCCAGACAGCTGACAGTTACAAAATCAAATTTAAGACTTTTAACATTTCTATTTTCTGTAAAGGTCTTGCCGATTTACTGAAACACATTAGATGACCATCGTCCAGAATATTACAGATTTATATTTTGGTCTTCTAATAAAAATCTGTGTGATTCAGCTGATTTAACAATTGATTCAATCCTGACG